ACAACTGCAAATCTCATTATATTAACTATGAGAGAATAATCTTAAAGTGTTGAGGTGTGGCTTTGTTCACTCACATCTCCTGTTTTTGTTGGGTTGAATTCACATTGTACGGCCTGTAAAGTACCATTTCAAATCAAATGTGTATTTTACTGAAAGTCTTTGTGAACAGTCTCTTTGGAGACTTGTACTATTTTGAATGATTGTATCTGGAGATGTGGGTTTGTTCACTAACTCACCAGTCAGTGGGACACTCCCTGCTTCTCCTTTTTTTTTTTTTTTAAATAGTCTTATGTGTTGATCATTAGTTCTAAGCTTTTGTAAACACTGAAGACTGTTCAGAAATAGTGATTTTGGTTGTTCTGAATGACTGTAATTATTTTGATTCAACTGTAACTGAATGATTGATGTTTTGTTTGAGAAAGTATGTACATTGGGTGTTTGTTTTGTTGTTTTGTAAAAGTCAGTGAACACGCTCCCATCTCTGCAGTTGAAGTTCTTGGCAGTACATTTTTTTACACTACTGTTAAGAATTGTAACTGCAGAGACGGGAGTGCATTCACCGACTCTCCAGGGAACAGTCCCTGCTTCTACTCTCTAGGTTTAGGTGTTTTATTGTAAGTCATCTTGACTTGTTAAAATCATTTGACTCTAATAATACTAAACATGAGGTAAGAAATAATAATTCCATAGAAGCTTATTCTGAATGTGCACATGCTTTAACGCTGTTTCTGTTTCTGTTTCTATTTCTGTTCACATGGTGACTGGTTTGGAGGGGCCATCTGAGCCCCATGGTCCTGAGATCTGATGAAGCTGACAAGAAAAAACGTGGCTCTAGAAGATGATGAACAAGAGATGGAGCTGCCGAGAAGAACCATGTCCCCAGAAGAAGAAGGACAAGAGCAGATCAGAAGTGATTTGATGAAGCTGACCAGATGAACCTTGTTTCCAGAAGATAAAGAAAAGGAGCTGATCAGAAGTGATGTGATGAATCTGACAAAAAGGCACCAAGAACAGAACAGAATGACTTGATGAAACTGACCAGAAGAACTGTATCTCCAGAAGACATGGGCAGATTGGGACCAAAAACGGCCCTGGAATTTTCTGCCACAAATCAAGCCATGGTGGAAATTGAGGACCGGTCCACGCACAGATGGCCATTCTGGGCTTTTCCTGAATGCACAGATTGCCAGTCCGCCGCTGCCAGAGGATGAAGCATATGAGCTGATCAGAAGTGATGCGATGAAGCTGATGAGAAGACCCATGTCTCCAGAAGATGAAGGACAAGAGCTGATCAGAAGTGATGGGATGAAGCTGATCAAAAAACCAAGGGCAGACACACGGTGGAAATTGAGGACCAGGCTTCTGATCAGAAGTGATTTGATGAAGCTAACCAGAAGAACTGTATCTCCAGAATTTTCCCCCATAAATCCACCCATGATGGAAATTGAGGACAGGTCCACAAGCAGACAGCTGTTCTAATAATAAATAACTCTAATAATAATAAACATTAGGTAAGAAATAATAATTGTATAGAAGCTTATTCTGAATGTGCACATGCTTTAACGCTGTTTCTGTTTCTGTTTCTATTTCTGTTCACATAGTGACTGGTTTGGAGGGACCATCTGAGCCCCATGGTCCTGAGATCTGATGAAGCTGACGAGAAAAAACGTGGCTCCAGAAGATGACGAACAAGAGATGGAGCTGTCGAGAAGAACCATGTCCCCAGAAAAAGAAGGACAAGAGCTGATCAGAAGTGACTTGATGAAGCTGACCAAAAAACCAAGGACAGACACATGGTGGAAATTGAGGACCAGTCCACGAGTGGACGGCCTTTCTGGGCTTTTCCAGAATGCACAGATTGCCAGTCCGCCGCTGCCAGAAGATGAAGAATATGAGCTGATCAGAAATGATGTGATGAGGCTGACGAGAAGAATCATGTTTCCAGAAAATGAAGGACAAGAGCACATCAGAAGTGACTTGATGAAGCAGACGAGAAGAACTGTATCTCCAGAAGATAAAGAACAGGAGCTGATCAGAAGTGATTTGATGAAGCTGACCAGAAGAACTGTATCTCCAGAATTTTCCCCCACAAATCCACCCATGATGGAAATTGAGGATCGGTCCACAAGCAGACAGCTGTTCTGGGCTTTTCCAGAACAATTCCCAGTCCCCTGCTGCCAGAAGGTGAAGATCACGAGCTGATCAGAAATGATTTGATGAAGCTGACGAGAAGAATCATGTCTCCAGGAGATGACAACCTGAGATGGAGCTGATCAGAAGACCACACTGAAAGGATGTACAGGAATTAGTCAATAAACAAGTTGATTTGGAATTCTTATGTCATTTTATGCCAAATACTTTTAGAGTACATGTACATTGTATTTTTTTATTAGAATTTACTTAAAGGGGCATTATGCAACTTATCTGATGGGGGTCTGCTACCTTCTTGTCTCCATGGAGATGCTATTCCTTTAACTGGAAAGTTATACAGTATATCACTAAATTTATCTATATAACATATTATAAGTTATAGCTGTTTAAAGTGCGTGCAAAACATTATTAATGTGAGACTTGTCACTCCACAGATCTGACTTGTAACTCCACCTGGGAGCATTAACATTTTGTCTTTATAGAGATAATTTGGTTTACTGCAATACTACACGTCTCCATGGAGACAAATCAGTGGCTTACCCTTCAAAAGACATGGTGTCATAGGTTCATAGACTGGTTTGAATGGTGTTGTTTTGCCCAGATCTTAGTGTTCACATCTTAGTGTTCACAGCCTCAGTCCCACAGCAGACATTTGTGTTTAGATGTGTGAATCACACAACCAGCCACAGCAGAAGAAATCAAAATCAGAAAAGTTGTATTGCCAATGTCACTGAACAAATGCATGAATATGCGGCCTATACCTACCAGAACCATGAACTATGACCGTGCTCCTTCTGGTGCCTCAGATGTGAGTGTGCCCAAAGGAGCAGTGCTGTGTGGAGGGGCCTGGACAGGGGACAGACTCCATTCCCTGGTCTCTATGATGACTGTGTGTCAGCAGTGTTAAGTAACAGGGCATGGACGTGATCTACTCTAGAGACACTGGCAGAAGCTTCAGGTACACTCTAGGTACCATACTAGGTAGATATATTAAGTATACAAGCATGGACACATATTTACACTTTTTTGTACTACTCCATTAAATGTCAATAACCTTAATAAACCTTTTTCTTGTCTTGTTTATTGAATAAATAATATAATTATTTTTTAAACTATCCATAAGAGTACAAATATGAAATCCACAAGACACGATCGAGTGCAGGGCCCTTTTGAATAAATTCACTACACACAGTTATATTGTTCTTCATATAGGCTAAATATCTATAACTTTTAGGCTACACGTAAAACGTAATTTAATGATTATTCTCTATTGCCTATTAGGCTACAGAGGTAAAATTATTACAGCAAAGCACCTACCCTTGTGTCATGTTCATATTATTGCTGAAGAATGAGGCTTATTTAATGTTTAATGATTCTTTTTTAATACGTCATAATAACAGTGAACTCACATGTACATGTACCACTACTAGTAAGTAAGTCTTTATTTCTATAGCATTATTCATTCACTCTATACCCTGGTGATGGTAAGCTACTATTGTTGCCACAGCTGCCCTGGGGCACACTGACAGAAGCGCAGCTGCCATGCCACTCAGCGCCATCGGTCCTTCCGACCACCACACACACGCACACACACGCACACACACACACACACACACACACACACACACACACACACACACACACACACACACACACACACACACACACACACACACACACACACACACACACACACACAGCACACACAAGCGCAATCGTCTGTGGCCCATCATCCAAAAAGCATGAGAGCAGAAGAAGGTGGCTTACTTCGTTGGAGGAAGAGCATACGTTGATAACAGGGAAATACACTTGCTGTAATATACTGTTCAGACATTTTCAATGGGGAGAAGCTCTACTCTCTTGTGTTACTACTCTGTGCCTTTAAGTTAAGAAGGTATCGTTCCAACTTTTATATTTCACTGTCAATTTAAACATTTCACAGTTAAAATGTATTTCCGTTAATGTTCGAGGCTTAAGAATCTACTACTGCTATTACTAAGTGCAAGGCTGCTTTTCTTTATGCAGAAAAACTTTGATGCAGACTTATGTTTGATCCGGGAATCTCACTCTTCTGACGAAGACTATAACTTCTGGAGATCACAATGGGGAGAGGACATTTGGATGTCACATGGTAATCACCATTCAGCAGGAACTCTTACTTTGACGCACAAATTCAACGGGAAGGTTATCTTTACACAAACAGCCTTAAATGGACACTTCATTCTTCAGGTATTATATTACAATAACCAATTATTTCTGATGGGTAATATATATGACTATACAAATGTAAAGGAAAATAAAAAGTTATTTCATG